GGCCTCCTTCTGCCCATGGGCCTATTCAATGTTTCAATTGTCATGGTTTTGGCCACATCGCAGCTGTCTGTCCCTCCAAGACGTCTTTTGTGCCTTCTCTTCCGTCTCATCTTCAAGACATGATTGTTCAATATTCTTCGCATGGTGGCCATCAACAGTGGGTTGTTGATACCGGTGTAAGCACTCATATTACCAATGACCTGAGCCTCTTATCCCTTGCTAGACAGTATCACGATTCTGACAATATTGGAGGTGTGCTTGATGAAACAGGTTTGCCTATTAAAAATATTGGTCACTCTCGTTTCTCTCACCTTAATTCTTCTTTTCATCTTAATGATATTCTTCACTGTCCCGGTGTATCTCTTCCTCTCTTATCTGTTCATAAATTTCCTATTAACAACCATTGTTTCTTCACTTTTTTTCCTGATTGTTATTTTATCCAGGATTTGGCGACGAGGAAGACACTTTTCTTGGGCAAGAGTAGCAATGGCCAATATCCCTTTTCGTTTACACCGAATGAGTTTTTTCAAGTTTTGCGTGATCATGTTGCTTTACTAGGTGTTTGTGTTGACCGCTCTGTGTGGCACTCTCGCCTTGGTCATCCTGCTTTGTCTACTTTGCAATTTTTGTTATCTTATAATAAACTGCCATCTTCTGGCTCTATCTAGTTCTTTTTGTCAATCATGTACGTTGGGTAAAAGTGTTAAATTACCCTTCAGTCCTTTTTACGTCCCTTCTTCTCCTTTGAAACTTATTCACTCTGATGTATGGAGTTCTTCAAATAAATCTATTGCTGATTTTAATTATTATGTTTTATTTATTGATGATTTTTTTCATTATTCTTGGATTTTTCTGATGAAATTGAAATCAGAAGTTTTCTCTCACTTCATTAAATTTAAGGCTTTGGTTGAAAATATGTTTTCCACTACAATTAAGGCATTTCAATCATATGGGGGTGGGGAATACACTAGTCATCAATTAAGGATTTTTTTATGTCATTATGGCATTCATCATCGTCTTTCTTGCCCACATCATTCTGAGTAAAATGGTTTAACCGAACGTAAACATCGTCACATTGTTGACATCGGGCTCACTCTTTTAGCCCATTCCTTTATGCCTCCTTCCTATTGGGCCGAGGCCATGCACGCTGCTGTTTATTTAATTAACAGTCTTTCTTCTAAGTTGCTTTAGTATAAATCACCCTATGAATTATTGTTTCTCAAAGAACCTAATTATTCGTTTTCAAAACACTTTTGGATGTGCATGTTTTCCTTATTTACAACCATATAATAATAATAAATTACAATTTCGGTCTTCCAAATGTGTGTTACTTGGTTATTCTTTGAACCATCAAGGTTATCGATGCTTGGATCTTGTTTCTAGTCGTGTTTTTTTTATAACGTCATGTGTTATTTGATGAATTTTCTTTTCCGTTTAACAAGGCCCATGTTGCTCCTACTCCAGACCATTCTCTGTCGTCGGACTTGCCTATCATCTTCTCTGGCCCAAGCTTATCTTTCTGCAGCCCACACCTTCCAGCGTCGTAGCCTCTGCCTAGTCTCCCTTCTTTGGTGCCAAAATTAGGAAGCGGGGAGTGGAAACTCACACACACGGGTACCATGGGAGCTTGAACTCAAGACCTCTTGAGAGCACACCAAATTAAAGCCTGGGAAAATCCACCTAACACCTCATTAGTCGACACTAAATAGTTCAATTGCATAAAAAGAAAACAAGAAGACTTTTAATGGATATGAAAAATTGTTTTTCCAACATATTTCTTCCCTCGTATAAGTACATTAAAAATTGAACAAATGAGATTCCAAATTGGTTGTTGTCATCTTTTAGATCCTTTTTCTATCTTTTCAACCGTTGGGAGGGTTTTTTATTTAAATTATTTTTTTGTCAAAAATGATTGCTAATTAATTACAGTTTTACTTTTTCTTTTTTGCTTGTTGTAATGAATAAGAGTACAAATGAAACATCGTCAAAATTGCTTGACAAAGTGGGCTGTCCTTTAAAAAAATTGTAGATTACAAGTTTAATGGACAAGCAATTTGTGATCTATAAAGATGTTGCTTCCTATTGCTTTCACCATTTTTCCACCAAAGTAAAATTTATAGCTGAAAGTAAGGTCAGTTTCGTACACCTAGTAGATCCAAAATGTTAATACCAAAAAGGCTTCGGTTTTAACTTCCTACACTTTGCCCTATCACTGGAAATATCCAATTCGGAGTGCATGAGGCTAAAATTGAGTGTCATTATTGGTAGTGAAATACTTTGTGATTAGGAAATATATCTTGACAAATTGATTATAACAAATGAATGGAAAAAAAATAGAAATACCTGCATATATAGTTATGGAACAGTTAGAGATTGAAATTTCAACCCGCCGGCAACAAAGGAAAAGGGAGAGAATCCCAGAAACAATAGAAATGTGTGGCATGGGAGGGAGCCCCTATTATGTCACCTCCTTAGTTTTCAATTAAGAAAATGTAGAGAAAGTATGAGGATCCTTCCCAGCCACACATCTCCATTGGCCTCTGGGAGGCCTATCTCCCATTTCAAGTCAGCCAATTCTAAGAGTGTATTATGCTCTCAAGATTTAGAGCCCTTTATTTATATGGAAGCCAAGGGTACATAAGTTCAAAAAATAACCTATAGTGCCCATGGTTTCCATACGGTGAGGAATCTGTGTGCCATCGTAGTTGTTTCACTACATGTTTTGGCAATTTTCATGAGGAAGCGATAAGGAAAATTCGGTTGGTATTCTTGCATGCTTCCCACACGTCGTAAAATAAAGTCTTGATGTACCTATTAAACCATTTCTTTTATCAGTTCACGTGATGAACACGATGAGAGAGATAAAGAGAAACCGGCCGGTTACATCTGACACCTATGAACAAAAAAGAATCCAAAACCGTGATAGGTTGGTGAAGGGAAGTGATGTTTTTTGTTTTCCAAAATTGGATTTTGGATTTTGGGGATATTAGTACCAGTTTTTGCGCCACTAAATAATTCAATTGCATAATCAAACTTAAAACGAAAGTTACAAGTATGTTAGATATGAAATATAGTTTCTCAAACTAGTGAATAATTCCTCATTCACTTTATTAATTTTTCAATTATTGCTAGTTTTAGAATTTTTGAGTTTTTATGGACCTTAAGATTTTAAAAATAAAATTAAAGGCGGAGATGTACATCTCCGAGGAAAAGGGAAAATAGAAAATATACACAATGGTTCATAGAATAATAATGAAATTTGATAATTTTTGTCAATACTTATAATTGTGGGATTGCTGAGAAGATTTTTCTACTGGACAATGTGAGAACTTGATTTAGCTATCTAGTTGATCTTACACTGAATGGCGCTAGGGTGTCACTGGCACTGTAGTCTGTAAAGATGATGAGTGAATTTGAGACTGCTTGTGGACCAAGAAATCTAACTTCTAACCAAGCCACCGTAAATCAAGTGGGAGGTAATTTGGTATAAGTTCTTTTCTTGACTTACAAGTAATAAGACTTGAATTCTTTGTGAATGAAAGTACTGAATAAAATGGAAATGAGGTTAGAGAAATCTAGCGAAGATGTAAGAAAGTACCAGTACAAATTGATGTAGAAGACTGATCCTGCTCCAAAATATATAAAGTAAAAAGGAGTCACTGCCCTCTACTTGATTATGATCTTCCTTGCTGGACTATGAATGCTATTGGGCTTCTAATTTGTTGCTCCAGAAACCCATTTACCGCAACGGGCCATTCATCGGGCCTCTATAAATTCAGGTCCAATCAACATTTATATGGAGATGAATGCTAGATTGGAAAATCCATTAAATCTGCAGTATGTGGTGTAGAGGCTATATGGTGTGGTGGGGATGAATGGGGAGACATATGCATATGAAGGATCACATGGTTCTGTCTTCCACAGCATCAAGAATTTGGCAATGATTGAGACTTCATATTTGTTGGATTGTGTTTTAGTTTTAACTAATCTGAAGTCCTTGCTAGGACAGGAAGCTAGACAAGTTGCCGACTCTAATATATCTTTATCACGGTATGTAAATATTTTGTAGTTTGTCAAAAATAAAAAATCTTGTCATGCACCTGTCAATAATACATTGAGGTTTTTTTTCCCTCAGATAATTTGTTTTTCTTAGGGTTTTCAAAAATCTAGTTTATGCAAGCTGGAATATTGTCCTCAGGAAATAGGGATATGAGATCATGCTACCTTTAGGCACCACCCAAAAACAAAAAAGAACCAAGCTGCAATTTTGCAAATAGACTTTGGCAAGAGAAAATTAAGGTAATAGCATATTGTCAACGTACTAGTTGCTAGCATATTGTTATGAAACAAATATTTGTGTCAGGAGTTGATTTGTGAGAATGTGCTTCATCAAAATTTGATAACTTAGGATCAATCAAGCATTAAAAATGCCACTGAAATGGACATGATATTTCCCCAATCTGTACGTATGAGGAACAATGTAAACAGTTATATGGTAAGCATTTTAGTCAAATTCTTGCGCAAATCTGCTACCACTTGGGGATTAACTATATAACAAGAGCTACAAGAAGATAATACTATAATGCAAACCATAAGACAAGAAAGGATAAGGATTTCAAATAGATTGTACATTGCTCCTGGAGAACAACAAAGAAGTTCACATAGGTTTAAAAGACAGAATTTGACTGAATTTGGGTGGGGGGATGATATTTGGACCAATGGTTCTAGGGAGTTCATGATATCATCACTGGTCTGCTTCATAAATTTCTATGTTTCTGCTCAGCCTAGAAGCAGCTTCAGGATTTGAGAAGGTTTGCTTTCACCACAAGATATGAGTTGATTCCATGGATGATCCGTGGTAGCCTCTTCTTCATCCCAACTCAGTGAGTTCTGAAATAAGGATGCTTTGGATATGATCATATCCAAATTCTTTCATCTTGGCTCGGTGAGCTCTGAAATGAGGATGGTTCGGATGGATTGGATGACTGATTCGTGTACACTCACACACTCAAGCGGGAAATGAGATCAAGGAAGGTGTTTTCACTGCAGGGGATTGTGATACCTCCCATGGGATGATCATATCCGAATTCTTCTTCAACTTGACTCAGCAGATCCAGGAATAACGGCTCATTCAAATATGATATTGGAATCACAAACCGCTTCTTCTGGCTCTCCCCAACATAGACTGCAAAGTAGCCTTTTGGGATATCTGAGGTCTTTGAATCTGCTGTCTGGCTTGAACTAGATAGAGATCGAATGAGACTTCTCTTTGCTTTAACAATTGCAGGCAACCGGAAACCCATGATCTTATATATTCTCAAAGGACAAAAGAAGAGAGGGATTCAAAGGACTTGGATTTGGAAAGCAGAGAAAGCTTTGGTGCTTGAGAAGGTGAAGACTTGAGTTGCTCATGATGAACTTGGTCATGTGTAATATATAGATCGAGGGTATCCAGAAAATCAACAGCTACATGAAATGATTGGTCTGAGATGGGCTCCAATGAGGGACACTTGATTGTGAGAAATCACATGGGCTTGTCGTCCTTCTCACGCAACACATCCTCGAAAGATTTCTCACTGAACTCTTCCCTACCTCCTCTAGGTAACAGACAACAAAAGGACCACCAGAGGTGATTCAATCCAAAAGAATTGTCTGTTAGGTAAGTAGCATTTATGCTTGAGACATGCACTTCTCTTTGTTCACACTAATTCAACCGACCACATAATCGGACTATTTTACTACAAAGTTTCTTGAATAGGTCTGCTAATGAATTGCCCTCTCACTTCATCAAAAGACCAACAACACTGCATATGTTGTGGTCCTACCCAACACTGATACAATTGTGTTGTGTGGTGCTAAATAGCTTGCTTGGGACCAGCAAGGCACCCTATCATGTGGCTTTGTAGTTTCGTCTCTGATCTTCAGTCTCAGCAAACAAAGGAGGTATTTATTTCATTTTGTTAGGCCAATCTGGACTTAACCAGAAAACAGTATTGATTTAAATAGTTGACAGTACTTGATCAAGAAAACTGAAGTTAATAAATAGAACTTAAGCTACTCGGTCTAAACTCAATTTTTAAAAAACCATTTTCCATTACCAGTCTTGTTTAGCAAAACCATTGCCAGTCTTGTTTTAGGCAAGTTCGGCGAAAAGCCTACTAGAGAAATCTAGAAAATTCTAGAGAGAAGGAGAAGCTAGGTTGATAATCTCTTCTTGCCTTTGCTTATGGCAACAACTGAAGATATCTTAGAGGATTAATAGAAAATTAGAATCTTGCATTTTACCTTTGTTTGGATATTTCAAGGAGCCTTGCAGAAAAAAAAAAAATTTACATGATTTCAAGGAGCCATTTAAACTTGGCTTGCAATCTCTAGCATAGGGAAAGTCGTGGATATATATTGTGCCATTTTTTAATGAAAGAAACTTAGTGGTTCGGCTCAGATGACTCTCCATTGAGAGATGTTAAGCATACTGTGCTTAATATGTTAATATATTATTAAATTATCAGACACAGTCATACAGGTAAACCATTATACTTTCATTTTTTGAAAAATATGCTGTCATTGATGATTTTATTTTATGACAGAGCTACAAGTACAATGAAAAATAAGACAAGAAAGTGGATCAGGATTTAAACTTACATTCCAATATATTTTCCTGGAGAGTAACAAAGGTTACATATGAGAAGATCATAGCATCCAACCCAAATGTGGAGAGGCCCAAGATCTTTTATACTACAATGCACGGCTTTAAGTTCCGAATGTACTCTCAAGAACAATAGTTCAAAATTTCGATCATGATTTTGGACTAAAGTTTTTCAACGTCCATTGTATCTTCGTTTGTCGGATTCATGAACTTTTCATCTTTATCCTCAGATCACAAGCAGCTTCAGGCTTACAGATTGCTTCCTCTCAACACAAGATGTAAGTCGACTCAGTGGGTGATCAAGAATAGCCCCATCCTCATCATTACTCAGTGAGTTCTGAAATGAGGATGCTTATACATGAATGAATTTGGATCATAGTTTCTTTTCTTGAGTGTTCAATCATACACTTAAGTGGGAAGTGAGATGAAGGAAGGTGTCTTCACTGCAGGGGATTGTGATACCACCCATGGGATGATCATATCCAAATTCTTCTTCAGCTTGACTCAGCAAATCCAGGAACAAAGGCTTATTCAAATAAGATATTGGAATCAAAAACCGCTTCATTTGGCTCTCCCCAACATAGACTGCAAAATAGCCTTTTGGGATATCTAAGGTCTTTGAATCAGCTGTCTGACTTGAACTAGATAGAGATCGAATGAGACTTCTCTTGGCGTTAACAATTCCAGGCAACCGGAAACCCATGATTTAGTATTCTCAAGAGGACAAAACAACAGGAAAAAGATTGGCAAGGACTTGGAAAAAACAGAGAGAGCTTTGGTGCGTGGGAAGGATAATACTTGAGTTGCTCATGATGAACCCAAGCATAGTATATATATAGATGAAAGGTATGCAGAAAATCATCAGGTACATGAAATGATTGGTACTGAAGGGGCACTGAGAGGAGAAGCAATGAGGGCCACTAGCTTGTACCAAATCACATGGGTTTGTTTTCGTGCTCGTGTAACCCTTCTACAAGAGATATCTCATGAAAATGATCAAACTCTATCGTTGTGTAGAAACAGGATTCCCTACCTAGCTAGCTCCTCTGGTTAACAGACAACAAAAGGGACCACCATGTTCTTGAAAAATGAATTCATTGAGTTGGATGCTCCTCTGGTTAATAATACCGCATATAGTATGCCCTACAACAAAAACTTGTTAGCTTGTGTGATAAATTAGTAGTCTCTTTCTTTTTCATCTTTTTATAAATGCTGCTTCAAAAGACAAGAATTTGCGGTGCTATGAGAATTTACATGGACCCCGGGATGCTCTATAGTTTGGTTGGTTGGGAGCACCAAACCACCCTAGCATGTGGCTTTGTCCTTTCATCTATGATCTTCAGACTCAACAAGCAAGAGAAGTCTTTCATTTGGTTGAAGAATTGGTACTTTTTTAGCACGCAGTAGGTAATGAGTACATATCTAAAAAGCATGTTGTATCAAGATTAATGTGGTCTCGAGAGTGCTAATTTGTTGCTGTCAAGAAACTATAAACATATTTATCTGAATCCCCATCCACAAATCAACGAGTATCTTTTCGTATCCACAAATCTCTAAAACTTCAAGTGGGCATCCATGTTTGTAGGTTGTCATAGAAATGGTTGGGAGCATAATGTTTGCCAACAAATATACTGATTCATACAATATATAGCTATCAAGTTGTTGAGATAGAGATTTTACTTGGAAGACAGAGGCATGTGATCTTTCAAATGCTTATGTCACTTGCCAACCCCAACCTATTTGCTTCCACACAGTTGTCTCCACATTCAGTATTTTCCTATAGACCTTTTCATCTATATATATGACAGACCATAAAATAATCAAGAAAACCAGACTTTCCAAAATCTGTTCTCCAAGTCATTTTTTAACTTCAAACTATTCTCAAGTGATAACTTTGACTTTTAAACATGGCTATCAGATTGCCTAGTATTATGCAAGCAAGGCGGATCCTCTGCCGGGGGAATTTGTTTGCTAACCGAGCAGCTTCAACATCTTTAGTAGGTGTTCCAAAAGGCTTCTTCGCAGTGTATGTTGGAGAGAATGAAAAAAAGAGATACATGGTTCCAATTTCATTATTGAGTCAGCCTTCATTTCAAGAGTTGTTAAGTAAGGCAGAGGAAGAATTTGGATTTGACCATCCAATGGGTGGACTCACAAGTCCTTGCAGAGAAGAAATCTTCGTTGATCTCACTTCTCGGTTGTATGGTTTGTGATTCATGATTCACATATAAATTATCTGAACAATTTTGTAAAGACTTATACATTCTCTTGCATCTATGCATTTTAGCATAAGAAGAAAGGGATTCAAATTTTATGACTAGTTGAGAAAGTTGCAAATAGAAATAGTTGGCTGTACATGATGATCGATTCTAGAATTCGCAACATTGAATGAAATTATTTACAGTCCATTACCTTGGAAACTTTCTTTTCTGCCACTTTTTTTACCATCCATTTTATTTTTTGATTGTTTATGACACCTTATTAATAAAACTTAAGCAATATGAAGGGGTAAAATACAACAGAGAGAAGTTTGTTTGTATTAACCCCCTTCAAAGTTAAAATTACACAATATGGCAGACTTATGTGTACTCTTCAAAAGGGTTTGTCTAGCAAATTGATGTACTAAGCTAACAAAAGCCTGGTAAACTAGGGGGCCAGCATATTATAAATTTTTTTCATTTCTTCTTGCCTAAAAAAACTAGGCCTGCATATCAAGTAACTGGATTTTTATGAATCGAAAAAAAAAAACTAAGCCAATGGAGAGAATACATGGAAGTGAAATGGTTGTATTCCGTTTTGCTGCAGGAGATTTTGTAGATGGGAGATGAGGCATAAAATGGAGCTCAATCTTGGAATAAGCCAGCGCATTGATTCATTAAAGTGAATTGTGATGGCCCTTGGTCGGCGACCATGTCTTAGGGTGGCTATGGATGGGTGGCTAGATCATCTGTGGGCTGGTTTATTGCTGCAGGTGGTGTGGGCGGCTTTCCATGCATCTCTAGAGGCAGAGAGGCAGTGCAAGGAGCAATGTTTTAAGTTGTGTTGAAATGGGTACATTCAGGTGGAGGTGGAGTCTGACTCAAAGGTGTTAATTGACATGCTCCAAACTGGTGAGATCACAGATGCTTCAGTGGAGGGTGTCATCCATGATATCAATTTCCCCAGCTCTCAACTGATTAATATCATGTTCAAGTTCGCGCCAAGGGTGCAACAATGCTGCACATCCAGTTGCAGCTTATTTTACCCGGCACAACGGTTCCTATCACTGGAATAGGGATGCTGGACTGGTTGTTTAATATTTTAGCTTCTGATACTAACATTCCCATTAGACTTTAATCAATCTATCTAATATTGACGAAAAAAATGAAAAAATAATCTATTTTAAGAGATTTTTATTTGTTCTGCAACCAGTCTCATCTGTGTAAGAAGTAGGAATTGTTCTTCCAACTTGTCCTACCATCAATATTTGCTTGGCAAGATATATTGATTTTCCTCTATCCGGAGTTCAAAATCAAAATTTTCCACTGCTATCTCAAAGGCCACAGAGGCATGGAAAGGCATCATCACTACGTATATTTAAGAAGTTAATGAAAGAAATTTTTGTGTTGCAACTTTTGAGTTACAAGAATGTACTCCATAAATAAAAAAAATGTGAACCGAAGACACAAATATAAACAGGCTTAAAAGTCATAAATATGACTGTATCTGCAGATATCTTATAGGGAAATACCCAGAAGAATTCATTCTGAGCCACTACTTATAAAACAAACGAATTATATACTTCAATTCTAGTGCAAATCTGCTGCCATTTGGTGATTCACTATATAACAGAGCTACAAGAAGATAACAAAGTAATTAAAGTATAAGACAAGGATGGATAAAGATTTAAAGTATATTATATGTCACCATATATTCCGGGAGAGCAACCAAGAAGATTACGTAGGGTTAAAAGACAGAGAATTTGACTGCCTTTAAGTTCAAAACATGATATCATCATTTGCATGCTTCAAAATTTCTCTGTTTCTGCTCATATCCAAGCAGCTTTAGGATTGCAGAAGGTTTGCCTTCAACACAAGATGTGAGTTGATTCAATGAATGATCAACTGTGGCCTCTTCTTCATCCTAACTCAGTGATGAGTTCTGAAATGAGGATGCTTTGGAAATGATCATATCCAAATTCTCTTCTTCAGCTTGAGTCAGTGAGTTTTTCAATGACGATGGTTTGGATGGTTTCGATCCATTCGCTTACATTCACACACTTAAGCAGGAAGTGAGATGAAGGAAAGTGTCTTCACTGCAGGGGATTGTGATACCACCCATGGGATGATCATATCCAAATTCTTCTTCAGCTTGACTCAGCAAATCCAGAAACAAAGGTTCATTCAAATATGATACTGGAATCACAAACCGCTTCTTCTGGCTCTCTCCAACATAGACTGCAAAATAGCCTCTTGGGATATCCAAGGTCTTTGATTCAGCTGTCTGGCTTGAACTAGATAGAGATCGAATGAGACTTCTCTTGGCATTAACAATTCCAGGCAACTGGAAACCCATGACTTTTATATTCTCAAGAGGATGAAGAACAAGAAACAGAATTTAAAGGACTAGGAAAACAGATAAAGCCTTGATTCTTGGGATGGTAAAGACTTGAATTGCCGATGATAAGCCTGATCATGTGTGTATATATATAGTCGAAAGGGTGTGCAGAAATTCTATCCTTGTTTAGAAACAGCATTCCCTACCTTGCTAGATAAGAGGGAACAGCCAAATGTGAATTAACAATCCAATAAAATTATGCATGCTTGATAAGGAACCAACTTGTGTCATAATTAGATTTTTTTTTAAATGCTGTACAAACAAGAATGTGTGGTGCTATGAAAACTTTAACATGGGGCCTGAATAAGAAGAGATGCTATTTAGTATAGCTTGATTGGCAGCACCAAGCCATCCTACCATGTGCCTTTGTCATTTCAGCTATGATCTTGAATCTCAAAACTCTCAACAAGAAAATGAAGCATCTCATTTTGTTTGGTCTATCTGAATTGTAGCCAGAAAACCCCACAGATCATTTATTTGACCATCAGTTTTGATTTATTAATTGAACTCTTGGTTTAGTAAAACCATTGACATTTTTGTTTTAGGCACGTTTGGCTAAAACCCTAAAACCACCTACTAGAGAAATCTAGAAATTCTAGAGCTAAGGGAGAAGCTGTGTTGACAATCTCTTCTCCTCTTTCCTTGTGGCAACTGAAGATATCTGTTAACAAGCAAGTAGTACCTGTAATTAATCTACAAATTTATTTTGCCATTTCGTCAAATGTTTCCCCACCTCTTACATTGTAGTAATCAAATGTTATTCCGACATTTACTTGTAATTAATCAGACTTACCAGATAACATACAAAATAACTGACAAGAAGTTAGTTCTGCAGGATATTTAAAGAGCATTGCAAAAGAAAAATAATTTAGGTGAAAAAATGAACATGAACCAGGTGAGATCTTATTTTTGAAAAGTTGATACATATTGAACGTGCAGTCGGTATTGCGTACATTTCTAAAATTCTAAGTACCGTATTTTAACAAGATTTGTAGACATTTGTCTAAAGAGTGCTAATTTTTTTTTCTCAAGAAATTATAGCCACAAATGTCTGTAGCCTAACCTAAAACTGTATTCAAAGGAACAAGCAGCTTTTCTATCCACACATCTCTAAAATTCCAAGTTTGGGGTTCTATGCGTGTAGGTTGTCATAAAAATGGTTGGGGGCATAAGGTTCTCCAACAAATATACAGACTTAACAGCTAACAACTTCAGATTGGGATGGAAGACAAAGCCATGTGATCCTTCAAATTCTTATGTCACTTGCCAACCCAACCATATTTTCTTCCATCCATTTCTTTCCACATTGCTAATATTTTCCCATCCACCACTTCAAATTTCATCTATATATACAGGCACTTCCATACTAACCCATAAACAAATCAACTCTTCATCATCATCTTTACTAAATCTTTTCTTCGAGTTAATTTTCAACTTCAAGCTCTTTCAACAGTGTAATACAGACTCTTAAACATGGCTATCCGATTGCCTAGTATTATGCACGCTAAGCAGATTCTCCGACGAGGACGTTTTCTTGCAAACGGAGCAGCTTCAACATCTTCAGTGGGTGTTCCAAAAGGTTTCTTGGCTGTGTATGTTGGAGAAAGCGAAAAAAAGCGACACATGGTTCCGATTTCTTTCTTGAGTCAGCCTTCATTTCAAGAGTTGCTAAGTAAGGCAGAGGAAGAATTTGGATTTGACCATCCAATGGGTGGACTCACAATCCCTTGCAGAGAAGAAATCTTCATTAATCTCACTTCTCGGTTAAGGGACCTGTGATTTGTGCTTAAAATATAAATTATCAGAGACAATTTTGTAAAGACTTATATGAACAGCTGAGGAAGTTGTAAATAGAAATTGTAGACAAACTTTACATTTGTTATAGATTACAGAAAGAACAACATTAAAGGATATTGTTTCTCTTTGGATTCTGATATGATTTCAGTCCATTACCTTGCTTACTTTCTTTTCCTGTCACTTTTATTTTTTGGGTATTAATTTATTAACAAAATTTAAGCAATATGGACTGTTTGTATCGACTTCAGACATTTACATGTCTCTTATGATGGTTTTTGCCATTTTTTGATAATCAGTCACAATAGAAATTCAGTCACTTCAAAGCTGAAAGTACACAAAAGGCCTAGCAAGTTCATGTACTGAATGAACAAAAGATAACATAATGCTTAAAGATAACAGTATGTTATTGCCATGAGGAGTTTCAAGAATTCCACAGCTATCTCAAACAAATGAGAGTCATCAGATGGGATAAGCAGGGATCTGCTGAGAGCTCAAGAAGCCACAAAGCCACCAAAAGGCAACATTCCTATCTATATATCGAGAACTTAATGGTAGAACTATTAAACAATTTTTTGAGTTACAGCATTGTAATTCAAAAAAATTATGAAATCATTCGATTACTTAGCAACAAGCATCAAATGGAACCGACATGGACATGATATTTTCCATGTGCTTTGGTGAACCTAAGTCACAAATATCAATAGGGTAGAAAATCTCATATACGAATGTATCTGCAGATGTCTTCCCCCCCAAGACAACCCCAATCATAATTTTGAGAGACAGGATTCACTGGAATATGACTACGCAGTTTAATTCAAGATCCGAATCTGTATGAGGCACCATGTATAAATAAGTATGATTAACCAATTATACTTCAGTTCTTGTGAAAAGCTGCTGCCATTTAGTTCTTGTGAAAACTAGAAGACAAGAATGGATGAGCATTTATCATATGTTATATATTCTTGATATTCCTGTAGAGTAACAAAGAAGTTTACATAGAATTACAAGACAACAAATTTGACTTCCTTTGAGTTCAAAATTGGAGTCATGATTTTTGGAACAATGGTTTTGTGGACCTCATCATATCATCATTTTTCTGCGGCAAAAAGTTCTATGATATTGCTCAGATCACAAGCAGCTTCAGCATTACAGAAGGGTGAGCTGATTCTAAGGATGATCCATTGTAGCCTCTTTTTCCATCCAAAATCAGTGGTTTCTGAAACAATGATGCTTTGGATATGATCACTTCAACATCCTTCATTAGCTTGACTCAGTGAGGTCTGAAATGAGGATCTTTTCGATGATTTTGAAAATCCATTCCCGCACAGTCATACACTTAAGCGGGAAGTGAGATCGAGGAAGGTGTTTTCACTGCAGGGGATTGTGATACCACCCATGGGATGATCATATCCAAATTCTTCTTCAGCTTGACTCAGCAAATCCAGGAATAAAGGTTCATTCAAATATGATACCGGAATCACAAACCGCTTCTTCTGGCTCTCTCCAACATACACTGCAAAATAGCCTTTCGGGATATCTGTCTTTGATTCAGCTGTCTGGTTAGAAGTAGATCGAGATCGGATGAGACTTCTCTTTGCGTTAACAATTCCAGGCAACCGGAAACCCATGGCTTTTATATGCTCAAGAGGACAAAAGAAGAAGAAAAAGAATGCAAAGGACTTGGAAAAGAGAGAAAGGTTTGATGCTTGGGAAGGTGAAGACTTTAGTTGCTCATGATGAACTTGATCATGTGTGTATATATAGATGAAAGGGTATGCAGAAAACCATATGGTACACTACATAAAATGATTGGTGAAGAGGCACTGAGAGGGGAAGCAATGAGGGCCACTTGCTTGTGCCAAATCACATGGGTTTGTCTATCTGCTTATGCAACTCAGCCTCAAAAAAACTTCTCTGGATAATGGCCAATCTGTATCCTTGTGGAGAAACAGCATCTCTACCTAGCAATCTTCTCTGTGTAACAGACAACGAAGGGACCAGCAGATGTGAAATTTCAATCCAATGAAAAAAATCCTCTTAGAGAAGAGGCCCATATATGTTGGACTAATCACTAATTACTGTTCAAGATTAGGTCTGCTAACCCTTAATTGCATATACATGTTCTTGAATAATGAATTCATTGAATTGAATGCTCATTCAAAGTCACGGAAAGATAACCGACAGAACCGCATATGTGCCCTACCCAACGAAAGCTTGTGTGACAGGACAACTAAGTTGTTAGCTTGTGTGGCAAACAATTAGTCTTCTTTTTTCTTCTTCTTCTTTTTTTTAATCGTGCTTTGAATGCAAGAATTTTTGTGGTGCTACTGGAATTTGACATGGGGCCTGGATAAGAATGGATGCTCTATAGCTTGATTGGTTGGGATGAGAGAACCAAACAACCCTACCATGTGGCTTTTTTCTTTCATCTATGACGTTCAGTCTCAACAAGCAAAGGAAGTATTCATTTGTATGAACACTCTGGACTGTCAGAACTGGTAAAATATTTGACCACAAGTTTTCAATTGTTTATTGGAAGAGTGGAAACATGGAACTCATGATTCAGATACAACACATAATAAATGGCAGGAATTCCGTTCCGCAGGATATTTCAAAGAGCTTTGCAAAAAAAATATAAATAAAAATTTAGGTGAAAAAAATGATCCTGCATTGGCTGAGATCTTATTTTGGAAAAGCTGCACATGCAGTAGCTAATGTGTACATATTTAATTTGGTCCAAATAATGCTAGTTAATCTATTGCTGTCAAGAAATTATAGACATAGGAAGGTCTGAAGCCTTGTCCTTTATTGAAAGGAAGCTTTTGTTATCCACACATCTCTCTGAAATTTCATGTGGGATTTATAGGTTGTCATGAAACTGGTTGGGGGCATAATGTTCTCCAACAAATATACAAACTTAACAGCTACCAAGTAGTTCATATTGAGATGGAAGACAGGGCCATGTGATCCTTCAACTTCTTATGTCACTTGCCAGCCCCAACATATTTGCTTCCATGCATTTCTTTCCACATTCCCTTTCAATTTTCATCTGTATATATATACATACACAATTATCCCATAAACAAATCAACTCCACATCCACCATCTTAACCTTAATATTTTCTTCCTGTCAATTTTCAACTTCAAGCTCTTCCAAAGTGATAACACAGACATTTAAACATGGCTATCCAATTGCCTGGTATTATGCATGCTAAGCAGATTCTCCAACGAGGAAGTCTTTTCACAAACCGAGCAGATTCGACATCTTCTGTAGGTGTTTCAAAAGGCTTCTCACCAGTGTATGTTGGAGAGAGCAAAAGAAAGCGATACATGGTTCCGATTTCATTCTTGAGTCAGCCTTCATTTCAAGAGTTGCTAAGTAAGGCAGAGGAAGAATTTGGATTTGACCATCCAATGGATGGACTCACAATCCAATGCAGAGAAGAAATCTTCATTAATCTCACTTCTCAGTTGAATGGCATGTGATTTATTGCTCAAAGATAAATCATCAGAAACAATTTTGTAAAGACTTGTGCATTCTCTTGTTTCTATGCTTTCCAGCATAAGATATAAGGAATTCTAACTTGTATGACCAGTTGAGGAAGTTGTAAATAGAAATTGTTCACACTGTACATTTGTTATTGATTTTAGAATACATTGGGATAATAGACCAAAATAAAACAGAATACATTGGGATAGCTCTATGCCGGAAAAAATTCCTTTTACCTTGTTAAATTTATTTTCCTGTCCTCGATACAATATTAACAGAATTTAAGTAACATGAAGGGGTAAAAGAACAACACACAGAAGTATGGTCTGTCTGTACCAACTGCGGACATGTAACTTCCAACATTTACATGTCTCTAATGATGGTTTTCCAATTGTTGAGGAATCACAGTAAGTGAACAAAGGATAACCGTATAACTAAGGAAGTATGTTATTGCCATGAGGAAATTCATGTTTTCCACAGCTATCTCAAACAAATGAGAATCATCAGATGGGATATGCAGGGATCTGCTGATAGATCAGGAAGCCACAAAGGCACCAAAAGATAACATCCCTATCTATATTCAAGAAATTAATGACAGAATCATTAACCAAATTTTAGTGTCACAGCTTTTGAGTAACAGATAAGTAATCCACACAAAAATTTGAGTGAATCATTCAATTACTTAGCGTCAAGCATCAAATGGAACCGATATGAACATGATATTTGCCATGTGCTTTGGCGAACCAAAGTCACAAATATCGATGGGGTAAAATTAAAAACTCCAACATATGACTGTATGTAGATATCGTATAGTGAAAAGTCCCCCACCTCACCTCCCCCCAATATCATTAGTTTAGAGAGATTGGATTCACTAGAATTTTAAAATGCATTCTAATTCAAGATCCCAATCTGTATGAGGCACCATGTTTATAAAAAAATTTTAAAAAAAAGTATTAATAAGCAATTATACTGCAGTTCTTGTGCAAATCTTCTGCCATTTATTTCATGTGAAAAGTATATGACAAGAATGGATGAGGCATTTATCATATATTAAATATTCTGGTGGACCAAAAAAGATGTTTACATGGGATTAAAAGACAATAATTTGACTTCCTTTGAGTTCAAAATTGGAGTCATGAATTTTGGACCGATGGTTTTGTGGAATTCAAGCAGCCTCTGCTACATAAATTTCTATGCTTCTGCTCAGATCACAAGCAGCTTCAGGATTACAGAAGCTCTGCTTCCAACACAAGATGTGAGTTGATTCTGTGGATGATCGACGGTAGCCGCTGTTTCAATCCAAAGTGATTTCTGAAATGAGGATTCCTTGGATATGATCACATCAATATTCTTCCAACAACTTAACTCAGTGAGTTCTGCAATGAGGATCGTTTCAATGCTCTTGATGATCGATTCTCGTTCACTCATACACTTAAGCTGGAAGTAAGATCAAGGAAGGTGCTTTCACTGCAGGGGATTGTGATACCACCCATGGGATGATTGTATCCAAATTCTTCTTCAGCTTGACTCAGCAATTCCAGGAACAAAGGCTCATTCAAATATGATACTGGAATCACAAACCGCTTCTTCTGGCTCTCTCCAACATACACTGCAAA